ACCATGGTGCTAACAGGACCATGCTGGTAAGAGAACCATACTGCTAATAGGACTATGCTGCTAACAGAACCATGCTGCTAACAGGACCATGCTGCTAAGAGAACCTCACTCCCAGCAGAACCTCTTTGCTAATAGGACCATGCTACTGTAGATGTATTTCTTTTTCACTTTTGGCGCCTTGTTTTTGTAGTTTTGTTGCATGCTTTGTTTTTGTTTTTTTGGTGAGTCGAGACAGCTTTTCTCGTCCTGAACATTTCATTGCATTGCTGACGTTGTGTTGATCTGCATATAACAAACCTAAACCCCTGAGCTTGGCATTTTGCAATATTGCATGAGATTGTGCAAAATGCATTTTCTAAAACCAACATGGCTTCAACATAAGACGTTGTTCTGAACTGTATGAAAGGTGGCATGTGAAATGCATTCCTTCAAAGAATGCTAGGTAAAACTTATTTCTGATCGTCATTTTCTTCATTGTATTTAGGGATGTTGACACTCTGATCACAATTTTCTTGCACTAAATACATCTAAAGCTGTACTTTATTGGGTATTTACTCCATTGTGCTGACAGAACAGGAAGATGTTGAGCAGAGGGTGTGTGACAGGTAAACAACGAGACAAAACAGACCGCCAGAGCAACAGAGGGCCGTGTGTTCGGCTACCAGAAGTTTTTATATATTTTGCTTAAAACAACCTAACAAGTTAGTGACTCACTGTTGAAATGTAGAACGTGTCTTTTTAGCCAAGCAAGAGTGGCACCGATCAGCAGTTTAAAATGTGTTATCTGTCTTATCACAGAACAGCGCACTTTGACCTGAGGCAAATAAAAGGCAGAGTCTACTGAAATCCACAGCAGTTGAGTGGCTGTGGTTTTGAGTTGGTTGCGAAAGCTGATCCATGTGGCAGAAACTTTGGGGATTGCTCAACACAACCTAAATCTGATTTCTCACAAGTTGGCTGAATGGAAAACCTGGAGGCTTTGCATTTGCCTGCTGTTCTGTGAAAAACCTGCCATTACCAGGTTGTGACTTTGATTGTACTGAATAGTTTAATGGTTGAGTTTGGTTACTTGTATTCTTGTAATGTAAATGTATAGGTAGGAAGCAGAAAATGAAAGAAAAACAAAAATAAGTTGTGATTTCCTCTATTGAAGTGACCCTATTTCCACAATTGTGTTGAAAAGCCCCATCGCTGTGAATTTTATACTCTGTTGAAATCCGATGAAAGAAGCAAAAAAAATAAATAAGAGCTTTTCTTTCTAATTTCCAGTCAACAAAATTAAGTAATCTTAATTTTTTTTCCCCTCATTTTGTCCGTTTCATATCAGCCGATGCTCAGTAAGTTTCAGCTCTGTAAGAGTCTGTAAGGTTCTGTAGTAGTTTGCTTGAGTAGTTACCCACGCAGCCCCTGTGTGATTTAGGAGGGACATCCCCGGGAGGATGTAGTCTGCTGTCGTTCAGTGTCCGTGACATGCTGCTAATCAAACATGGGTGGCAGCCCTGAATTTGTGCTGTGAATGGGAACGCCTTCAGAAGCGTTGCGTTTTCAACT